CCGTGTCGTATGTGGTGAACAACCCTGTATATTGCCCTTGTTTATATTATTGCTTAAAGTACTTGAAACTCGTTAAAAATACAGGAAATTCTCTTATTATAGAAATATACCGCAATTCATAGGCATTCCATTAAATTATAATAAATTATATAATTTTTGGTATTATTTGACATGTTGCGTTAGATAGTTGCGAATAAAACTTTTTAAATTTAACTTTCATTTAAAAGAGAAAGAGAAAACTAAAATATTTCTAAAAAAAATTTGTGTAATGTAAAGCTACTTAAACTCATTAAAAATGTACCTAAATTGTAGCTATATTGGCTAAAAATAGAAAAAATTTAATTTGAATAATCCACACGCAAATAAAGCAAGACAAATTTAATTTTGACTAAATATTAAAATTTTACTTCTAATATCCAGACACCTAGTAGCCCAGAGCCTATACAGGCCGAGGTTCAACAAATTAGAGACAAGCTGAAATTTGGCGTGGAGCTTCATTTTGTAGATCTTTAAACATTCTGAAACCCCAGCTATGAACTGTTGAGCCCGTCACCCCAAAACCACCCCTACAAGGGGTAAAAATTGCCGTTTTTTTACTTTTTCTTCAATAACTCTAAAACTACGAATTTTAGGAAAAAAGGTTACGAGTAAAAAATTGAAGAGAAGAAAATTTCCTACCACATAGGTAAAGAACCAAAATTTTTAGAATTTCAGTGGCGCAGGTGCGAATTCTTTAATTTAGGAGGATTGGTTTTAATAACCCACCATTCTGTGTATAACTTTAAATGAATGCATTTTTGAGATAAATCTCGAGACCAAAAAATTTATTAGGATACAAGTTCCTATAAAAACGATCTTTTTAATAAAGGTAAGTTACCAGTGGCGGAGATATTTTTTTTAATATGCGTTTTTTACATTTTAAAAACATTGAATAAGAAAAATCGCAGTTTTACAAATAATTTCCCATGAAATAGGTATATTGAAAAATTTACACGTTTAATAACAAAATAAGAAAAACCTTAGCTCAAAAATAAGATAACTTATCTTAAGGATCATTCACTTCCACATTTGTTGGGTTCATACATGTAATTAGTATCTGTTCTGTGCATGTAATGCCATTGAATTTACCAAATGCCATAGTGCAGGTGAGTCCCATTCGCTTGCATGTACATGCTTTTTTACAGCCTCCCGAAGAGCAATTGCAAAAACTTTCTCTAAAACCCATGTAGGAGCAATGGGCTGGTCTGAATGTATTGGATTCATCTCTCGATTTTTCAGAATCCAACCCCAACCTTGCGGTGGTAAATTGTTATTTAACCAAGCCTGTACCTGTAAGTTAAAAATGAGAATTTAGTTTAACATTTGAAGGCAACATAAATTTAACTTACCTGATGAAAAACTCTAAGTCCATGATATTTCGCACTATTGGAGGTAGGTGGTAATGATGCCAAGTTAAAGTTGGTATTAAGACTTCGTTTAGCTACGTACTGTTGATAAAGCATGTATCTGGCACTATCCAAATCTACTTTTTTGTCGAGTTTTTGACATATGCTGCTATAAAAAAACTGAGATGTAACTTCTCCTTTGTAGCCTCGGGATTATTAACTCTTTTAATAGCTCACATAACTTTTTCTTCTGGCTGGAGTTCACTAAATTAATCTTCCCTTTATTGAACACAGCAGACGTTATGTCACAACCAGATATAGCGTGGACACTAAGAATCACATTCTTCATATCCCGCAATTTTTGTTGTAAGGCCGATATGTCGATTATTTTATTTGGTTTTGACACCTTTCCCGGAACAATCTCTTGTGGCAATAATGATCAATAACACTATAATGTCCGTATTTTCGCTAACTACTGCTACGGTCTCTTCTGGTAAATTGTCACTTATTGCGACTGCTGTAGTTACAATAAGAGTATCGGCATCACCATCAGCGAATTTAACATTGATTCCATTTTCCAACAATACTTTTCCGAGCGCACGAATGAAGTTGCTTTTGTTGGTGTTGTTTGACAAAAAATCTGCCTTTGGTACCTTCAATGCAGATAAATTCGAGAAAGATATAATTGGTACCATTTTTTACCTGCAGATCTGCGATTCTGCTCCACATTTTTGGTCTGTATCTCTTCATTTTTACCATAGTGATATGATATATAATTATAGTATTGAGAAAAAAGATCTGAAAATATCGCAGGGTACAGGCTTGGTTAAATAACAATTTACCACCGCAAGATTGGGGTTGAAATCTGAAAAATCGAGAGATTAATCCAATCCATTCAGACCAGCCCATTGGTCCTACATGGGTTTTAGATAAAGTTTTTTGCAATTGCTCTTCGGGAGGCTGTAAAAGAGCATGTACATGCAAGCGAATGGGACTCACCGGCACTATGACATGTGGTCAATGCAATGGCATTACATGCACAGAACAGATACAAATTACATGTATAAACCCAACAAATGTGGAAGTGAATGAGGACTATCCTTAAGATAAGTTATCCTATTTTTGAGCTAAGATTTTTCTTATTTTGTTATTAAACGTGTAAATTTTTCAATATACCTATTTCATGGGAAATTATTTGTAAAACTGCGATTCAATGTTTTTAAAATGTAAAAACGCACATTTAAAAAAATTATCTCCGCCACTAGTAACTTACCTTCATTAAAAAGATCGTTTTTATAGGAACTTGTATCCTAATAAAATTTTTGGTCTCGAGATTTATCTCAAAAATGCTTTCATTTGAAGTTAAACACAGAATGGTGGGTTATTAAAACAATCCTCCTAAATTAAAGAATTCGCACCTGCGCCACTGAAATTCTAAAAATTTTGGTTCTTTACCTAGGTGGTAGGAAATTTTCTTCTCTTCAATTTTTTACTCGCGACTTTTTTTCTTAAAATTCGTAGTTTTAGAGTTATTGAAGAAAAAGTAAAAAAAGTGCCATTTTTACCCCTTGTAGGGGTGGTTTTGGGGTGACGGACTCAACGGCTCATCGCTGGGGTTTCAGGATGTTTAAAGATCTACAAAATGAAGTTTCATCCAAAATTGCAGCTTGTCTCTAATTTGTTGAAGGTCCCCCATGTAACACCATTAACCATGTAAAACGATGTATCTGCCCTGTGCTATAGATAAAAAACAAATTGTAGAATAGTAATATAATAGTATATATATATATATATATATATATATATATATATATATATATATATATATATATATATATATATATATAAATAAAATATAATAATATTACTCTGTTGGATCCAGAGGTAATAGGCTGTAGAGAGTAAAGAAATGTCAATGTAATTTCTAATAAGAATTAATTATAACTGAACTTCCAAAGTCTGCTTAATCTATTCTGCTATTTGACCATATCTTATGCATCCGATTATAATTTAGGCAATAAGAATTCTAGAAAATAGACTTTAAAACTATAGATATACGTAATAGCTTTGATTTTTTGCAAAAGTGCAAATATTCAAGGCTGGCAGATCTCGATAAGTGAAACATATTTTCTCTTCACCGTTTTCCCAATAAGTCCGAAATAACCGAGTTACGTTAAAATTAAAAAAAAATATATATACAGGGTGAGTCTTAAATAAGTGCAAATATTTTCAAGGGTATATTTCGACCCCAGAAACACGTCTATGAGGTTTTTTTCACAAAAAAATAGATGTTAACAATCGTGCATTTTCTTTTAAATTTCCCTGTATATTTTTCGAAAACTTTTTAGAACTGCCTGTTCACCGCAACTTTTCCCACGGTATAATTTCTTAATCTCCGATATTACCATAGTTACGGCTTTACTCTCTGGTTACGGCACTAAAAGGGATGCAATTACAGAAAAAATCCGGTGGCTCTCAAAAATTTTTCCAAAAAAAATATTTTTTTTTTAATTTCAAACTTAAATAATTCGGTTATTTTGGACTTATCTGAAAAATGGTAAAGAGAAAATATGTTTCTTTTATTGAGATCTACCAGCCCTGAAAATATTTGCACTTATTTAAGACTCACCCTGTATAGTATATTTTTAAAACATTTTGAGAGCCACCGGAATTTTTCTGTAGCATCCTTTTTAGTACCGTAACCATAGAGTAAAGCCGTAACCGTGGTAATATCGGAGATTAAGCTGTGGATTAAGAATTTATTGTATGTGGATTAAGAAATTATGTAAAGTTTTCCTGCTAGTTTTAAAGCTTAAATTCCTAGCTTTTTAAAAAAATTAAATGTATTTAATTTAAAATAAAAATTTTTAAAACATATTGTTTCATTGTACCGCAAAGTTACATTTATCATAAACATTCATATTTTCTATATGGTATAAAGTAAACACAAATGTTATTAAATTATAAACATATTTATCGCTAACACCAGTTCAACAACTAAAAACAAATATTGATATGAAAAATATTTGTATTTATTGTACCCTGCGCCAAAGACGGCTGGGGAATGGTAATCAATAATAATTTGGCGAGGTCAATCAAAATCAATCAGAATTATTTTCTAGACATCATTTACTAAAAATTGACATAAAACTTGTCAAAAATTAACACTAATTATTGAAAGATTTAAGAAGGATAGAACGTTTCCAGACACACATATCTGTTTCCAAATTATTTTTCTCGAATTTTAAACTACACTATTTAAAAATCATTTTTACTCAATATAAAAATAAATTCTTGGAAAATGTATTATTCTTGAACCTTGTTTTTAAAAATTCAGATTTTTTTTTATTTTTATTTTATAAAAATAAATTACAACTTTTCTAAGGGCGACTAGTAGTAAGCGCCATTAAAATATAAAGAAGAGTACCCAAATAAATGACGTCTAGGACTTGCCCTCGCTAAAATTATCATCGATTGTCATTTCCCAGCCGTCTTTGACACCGTTTTTATTCCATCGTATGGTGTTTGCATTAAGTGGTTACTAGCTCATATATTAGATCCAATTAAATATACATATTATAAATAAAATTTCTTACATCTACTATTATTTTTTAGATTAAACCGAGACAAAGCTTGGAAGATATAATGAAAGCCGAAGAGTCATGTGAAGAAAAAATAATTATACAAAAATTTTAAAGCAACAGAGGGAACAGTAATTATTAAATGACGCAGAGATGAGTGTGAACTTCATATTTTTTACAGTTTTTAATATTTTTTGTTTGAATATTTGTGTTAAGTCGGAAGCAAAGTTACGCCCGATATACAATAGTGGTCACGACGTTTTATTTGTAGCTAGATGTGAAGCAAAGTGTTGGAGAAGTCAAAATAAAGGGGTAAGTTGACAATTTAATAAATAATTCAACCATTACATTTTCACCAAAAAAGTTACATACATAAATTCACTTTTAATTACAAATGTCTTCGCAAAAACAGCAAAACATTATAATCGTCTTGGCACCCTTTTTCCGAAAAATTAACTGAAAATTGACAGTTCTAGATAGATTTGCAATTGTTCTATAGCTCTTGACAACGAGGGAAAATGCCGTATCATAGAAAAAAAAACGGCGTCAGCGATGGCTATGAAATGAAGATCGCTGTCATTTTATATGGGAAATGTCATTGCTCGTCATTTCCCAGCTAACTGGACGCCGTTTTTTTTTTCGATCATACGGTAGTTCTGGGTAATTTTGGGAGATATAACTGGGGGTGCCAACTTCACGTAGCACTTTTTTATTCTGGTTAACAGTTCTGATAGAGTGAAAATATATTTTATAAGAAGAGTTCTATAGTTTCTGACTATTAATTAAAATAGTTCTATTTTCTATTGTATTAACCAAAATATGGCACATAAATAAAGTGACAGCCTGCGCAGTCAAAATCGACTTTCCGATTTAAAAATAATTTAAAGAATAGTTTTGAACAGAGTTCTGAATAATACCCCAAAAGTTCTATAAGATGTGCTAATTGATTTGTTAAAAATATCAACAATTAAAAATTTCATTCACGCCCTATATACAGTGTTTTTTCAAATAAAGAAACGAAATTTGGTCTGTTAGTATTTGACATAAATTAGGATTGACTGGCGCATTCAGTTGTTTTTTGTCACTTCCTGTGAAAACCGGCAATGACTACAACTTTTGAGTTTTAAATAGCACCCTCGGTATTGTTTTACTTTATTCGATGGAAAATGTCACTCTGAATAGAATGACACATATCATAGTCAACTTTTGACATTTTCTCTTTAATAAAAATTGTATTTTAAATTTCAATCTATAGTGCCATCAGTGCCATGGCTGTGTTAAAAACACTAATTTTTAATCAAGGAGCCTTAGCCTTGGGAAAATAGATTCCATCACCTAATGTTTTTCGTGTCTTATCCTAACCTGTTAAAAGACGCCCAAATCTATTTTTAATCATATCTCATCGGTTTCAAATGGAGCGAGGGTGGCTCATTAGAATATTTAGAAAAAGCATTATCTCTACGATGTTACAACTCTACTTAACCGACACATGTTCGAAAGTACCCATTTATATACGTTGGCGCCCAAATTTTTCGCATTTAGTGCACTCCTGGAAAGCGAATGTTTATTTTTGGTTTATATTTTGTTCATTCTGGGGTTATTATTTGTGTCCTGTGAAAGTTAATAAATAAATTTATAGTTTCTTTTTTTGCGACGTCCGGATTTTGTCCGAATTTCATAGTCCATTTGCCCGGATTTTGTCCAGATTTCTGAGTTCACTTGTCCGGAATTTCCAAAAGCCTTTATGGAAACCTTAATCATATCTCTATGTTTTCAAATGGAACGAGGGTGGTTCATTAGCATATTTGGAAAAAGCATTTTTTTACGAATAATTTGTTACCATACACTTAGTATTTCAAGTCAAATTGTCATTATGAACCGCATGTTACAATTTCAAATAAACCATATGACAAAATGTCAAAAGTTGACATATGATATGTCATTCTATTCAGAGTGTCATTTTCTATCGAATACAATAAAAAAATACCGAGGGTAGGTATCATTTAAAAATCAAAAGTTGTAGTCATTTTCGATGAGACAGGAAGTGACCAAAAACAATTGAATACGTCAATCAATTCTAATTTATGTCATATTCTAGCATACCAAATCTCGTTTTTTTTATCTGAAGAAGTAAAAAAGTTAAAGGGGTAGCCACTTTTGAGATGTACCCGGTAGATAGACATAAAATCCACTTTACGCGCAAAATATACATTGTTGAAAAACAGTTATGAATAGTATCCCAAAAGTTGAATAAGATGTGCTAATTAATTTTTAAAAATATCAACAAATATAAATTTTATTGACGCCCGACACTATAGATAGACAAAGAAATCAACTTTATAAGCAAAATACAATGTTGAAAACTAGCTCCGATTAGAGTTCTGAATAGCACCCCAAAAGTTTTATAAGATATGGTAATTTCACAGTAATTTATTTATTAAAAATATTAACAATTAAAAGTTTCATTGATACCCGATATTATACAGGGTTCAACAATAGTTCGCCGTAGTGTAAGGAGTGGAAACATCTTATTTTTATTTTCACATTTATTTTTTTTTCTGCTGATATAATGTAGCGACCAAACGCTAAAATTTTCGAAATGACTTCTACGCTTAATTTCAACGTTAGCACCTTAAAAATTATTTAGAATCGTAAAAAATGCCCCCTAAAAAAACTCACGCGATTTAACATCTCGACCAGATTATTGGAGGGGTCAGAAATTTCTTATTCCGGAAAATGTCAAAAATTTCTCAAAAATTTGTAACCATGTTGTTTACCTTTCGTACACGATAACTCCTAAACTAATCAATTTAGTCACATACTCTTTTAATTTAATCGATTGAGAACACATAGGCGGTAATAGCTGAAGTCACTAAGTTTCATAGTAAATGTATTTCTTTTTGGAAAATAAACTTCAAACATTAACTTTATTGTATCATGATTGGTAAGCGAGAAACTTTTTGATTTGAATATATAAAAAATTAAAAAAAGTTCCTCGAGTTGTTTTGTTATACTAATATGTGGTATTAGTTATTTTAGTATGATTATACAAGGTGTCCCAGAAATAAGTGCAAGTATTTTAACTGGTAGTATAGTTCAACCCCAGAAACACGCTTATGAGGTTTTTTTCGCGAAAAAAAAATTTTGAAAATTCGGAATTCTTTTTAAATTTTTTTTTTTTTTTTAGTTTTTAGTTAAATAACATATTTTCTTGATAATATGGCAACATAGGTAGTAGATTAAATTTACAAGAAAGAAAATACAGAAAAGATCCAGTGGTTCTCAAAATTTGAGCAAACAATCCTTTTTTTTGGAAATTCTCAAAATAAAATAACTCCGTTATTTTGAACTTATTTGAAAAACAATAAAGAGAAAATATGTTTCTTTTATCGAGATCTACCACCCCTTAAAATACTTGCACTTATTTCTGGGACACCCTATATAATTAATGCTAATTCTCATAATAGTTCTCCCTTTTTTTCTTTTTGTAGTGTTTAAGGGAATGCTTACTGAGGCCTTATATTAAACCTGGTTTATGTCCTCAGAACACCACTATCTTGTCACCTTTCGCCAGGGTTTGTCTAGAGCTTTGCCATGCCGACTCTCATTGCCCTAGATTAGAAAAATGTTGTGCTCATCATTGTGGAATTACCTGTCAAGAGCCAGACCAATTGTCATCTGCTGTAGGTATGATTATATTTATTTGCAAATTAGTTAAGTATTAAAATTAGGAAGCATTATTTTTTGATCTAGTTACACTTACACAAGTGGAACAAATGGCACTTAAAAGTTTATCAATATTCTCCGGAAAATGTCAAGAAAAATATAAAAGTTTCAACATTTTTTTCGCAAAAAAACCTCATGGGCGTGTTTCTGGGGGTTGTTGTTCGTTTCTGCCTGTTTCTGGGGTATTGGGTTAATAACCTAACCTAACCTAACCATTTAAAATACTTGCACTTATATCTGCGACACCCTGTATATAAATAGGCAGGAAACGTACCTAAAAATTGGTCTTAGGGGGATAAAAAATAAGTAAATAGTCAAAGTTTTTTAATAAATTGTTTTTTTACTTAATTGGCTTGTTATAAGACCCAATCAAGTCGTCTAGGTCTTTTTGTCAGTTCATTGATAATTTAATTTTTTGAAATAGGTAACTCTCTATGAATAGACATCATTGCCAGTCCATTAAGTCTTATTTAGAACTGGAATTTTGACGATATTTTTTTATTCGTCTTATTGTTGAAAATGTCCTTTCCGGTATGGCTGTGGAAACTGGTATTGTACAAAATATCAACAACAGTCTGTACACGTTAGGGTAAGCTTGTGTTGTCGCTCTATTTTTAATTTTAATAATTTATAAAAAAAAATGAAGCGATTGGACCGGCCGCGAATCTAACACCATACCGCTCGCAAAGTACGCCACCACTGGCCAACGATCAGGAAAGCATCACAAGTTAAAAGAAAAACATAATTTCTGGGGCAACAAACTTTATAATTGGCAATTATTGGAACAGAACATACATAACATAACTGTTAGAAGTCTTGGAAAACGTAAGAATTGCAGTCCGTATTACTGATAAATACCTATATCAACAAGGAAACAAATATATAATAATAATCCGACTATACAGTATAACTCCGTGATTGAAGTATGAAAACCTAAAACCTGGATTAATAAGTATATTGAAAAAAAATTGCAGAAATTAGAATGCTGGAGATGATGACAGAATGCTAAAAATACGTCGAATAAAAAATGAGAAAGTTATATAGTCGTAGATTGGGGAAAAACAAAGTGACTATCACAGCGGGAAAAAGACTAAAGTGACATGGAATCATAAGAAGCAGCATCCGTAGGAGGATAAAGAAAATTCCCTAGTGGAGTCCTATGGGAACAAATCTTGGAGAGAAGAGATTAACGATGTCATGGAAACAGAGGGTTACAGCCCAATAGCATTTTTAGACACAGAATCGAAACAAAATCTATGCTGAGAAACATTGCGAAACAATTTCGAAACAATGATGGTGTTTGTGTCAGGTCACAAAAGTTCTGAAATTAATTCGACACATTTTTGATACCTATGTTTCGTAACATAAATCGTTTTATGTTTACAACAGTACAGAACATTTTACCAAAACATGGTTTCGCTACAGGTTACTAAATAACAATAAAGACCTTAGTGTCACAAATTTTTCGAAACTTCTTTTTTGTTTGTGCCTGAACAATTTCCATAATTTATTTGATATTCTGTCAGATATGAGAACCGTACTTTATTGTTTAAATTTTGTTCTGCAGTTTTTGCATTTAAGCATTCAATTTAAGCATTCCTCAAGTTTTTATAATAATAATTAAAAAAATAAACGTTTTTAATTATTTTGACCAGAAGTTTTGATTGGCGTTGTTGAAAGGTAATTAGTCTGACATTTATACACAGATAGCGCTAAATCGAAACATTTTGGAAACGTAGGTTTTCATTTATTGTTGATTCATTTTCGAAACACGAGTTTCTCTCTTTTTTGACACAAATATGATATAATGCAGATGATTTGTGCCCGACTCCATGTCAGTTTTATAAAATAATGAATTAAAATTCCGCCATGTTGGCTAGTGATAGGGTTTTTAACTAAAAATATGTGCTGGCCCAACGAAAACATTATTTTAGAAATATATTTTAATTATTCTATATTTCTATGAAAATATTTTTAAAATGTGCGTTTGAATTGTCCGCGTATTTTTTATAAAGGTTGGCGTGAGAATTTCAACTAGAAAAACTGATATAATACTTTTTCTGAGCACTGGGCCATCCTGTACTTATAGTACTGAATATATCAACGTATGATAATAATATTTATGACCATGAAAAAATATGTAAACCTTTCAGTTTGAATACCCAGGGAAATACTAATTTCAACATTTTAAAATATGTTTAAAATATATATTTATTTTAGGTGTTCCCGGTATACCAAGGGAGATAATCATTACAGAACTAAGAAAGCGAGCTGTACATATTCAATGGACGAAAAAAAGCCATTACAATCTGAATAATTCATCAACTGTTATTTTCTTAATTGAAGAACGACACCATCCTGGAAAACACTATACTGAAGCCAAGTTAACTAAATGGACACCATTCTTAACAACAGATAAGACAGAGTGTTTTTTGAAAAAGGCTATTAAACCTGGAAATTGGTATCAATTTAAAATAGCAGCTGTAAATGAGAATGGTACCAAAGGATATTCGAAAACTTCTTATCCATTTAGTACTAGTGTATGTAAGTTAAATTTACCATGACTAATTATTAAAACATTTTATTCTATATATAAATGTTTATATTATTATGCAGAAATAATTATTATAACTATCTATTAAGGATAAACTCGCTAGAAATTGAGTGAATAATGATATAATTCGTAACTGTAACTTGAATTTGCCTCTTCACATTGTTCTTGCTCCTTAAACAACTAATATTGGGGAAGAGAAATGGGGATATTTGAAAAATAAATAATTTTATTACTAAAAATTTCTTCGAATATATTTTTTCTTTAAACAATTCTGTATTAAATTATCATATACTGACATTTTCTATTTTCTATTACTAAAAATATCTTAGAATATATTTTTTCTATTAAAAAATTCTGTATTAAACAGCCTCTACACTATACGAACAACTCTTCGAAGCAGGTCAAGGTCGCGTTTCGTCGCCCAACTACTCGTGAGGAGGGCATGGTGAGATTGTGTTTTTTGGCGTTTCCTGTTGCCTCGTTCAATTTTGTTAGTGGCTATTCCTTTTGAGCTATTTCCAAAACGTGGCGGTATCTGTACCCGAGGCAAAAAACTTTTAAAATGAACTTAATTTTTTGGATACACCTTCAATATAGGGCATCGAGATATACTTAATTAGTTGAATTTTGACTCTCTCTCTTGTTTTCATTGCTCGTTATATTTTCCGTGTTATATATTTTATAAATTCTTTATTTCAATATTTTAATAATTAATTTATTTGGATAATTATTGTTACTTTATATATTTTTTTTATTATTTCTTCTCTTTATTGAGGGCTAGTTTTTTTTTAAATCTCTATTGAACACGTCTATTATTGTATTTTTTATATATTGGATGGTAGAACAAAATTTAAGTACCTACAGAAGAAAGTTGAATTTGTTAGTCCATAGTACATCTAGTAAGTCTGTAGTCCATCTAGTAAATATTTGATTGTTTGAGATAAGGCGATAAATTATGGCCCATAATACAATCATCGACATATCGTTTATAGAATATTATGTTTGTATTTATGCTGTTTAAAACATATTCAATGGCACTGAATTTTTTCTGCAGTTTTTGCATTTAAGCATTCAATTTAGGCATTCCTCAAGTTTAACTGAATAATACTGGATAATTACATAATCCAACTGGATAACACTGGATAAACTACATAATCCAACCGTCAAAAACAATCTAACTGACCAGTTAAATTCGCAGATACAGAAACTATCTCACAAAATCGAAGGAGATGACGTGACACAATCATGAAAATAAATAGCAAATGTCCTAAAAACCACCTCACAGACTGTTCTAGGATATAGACCTAACAATAAAAACAAAAGTGGATCACCAAAGAAATTCCGCTACTCATCGATGAACGTAAAAAGCCAAAAATAACAAGGACAAGTACAGTGGATCTCTGTACTACAGAGTTAAATAAGGTCGAAAATCAGGATTGCCGAAAATGAATGGCTTAAAAAACAACTACAAACTACAACACAAACATGATGATTTTAATCTCCATAAAAAACATAAAGAAACCGTTGGAGTGTACAAAAAATGGAGCCTATATAGGTATAACAATCAACGAGAATAATCAGATAATTCTAAATGATAACGAAAAGCGCCAAATATGGGAGGAGTATGTAGAAAAACACTTTAATGATAATCGACCGGACAAAGAACTCACAGTCGGAAAAAAACTAGACCTTCTATTACGAAAGAAGAGATTGAAAATACAACTTGCGAAGAATAATAAAGCAGCTGGGCCGGATGAGATCCATCAGAAATACTCAAACTTCTGGACGAGAGAGGCATTGCAGTTCTATCCAAGTTGTTTAACCAAATATATGACACTGGTCACTATCCGGAGCAATGGTTATCTTCGACTTTTATCCCTATACCAAAGAAGATCAGCGCACGAAAATGTGCAGAACACAGACACATCAGTCTCATGAGTCATTCTCTAAAAATATTCCTGAGAAAAATACATTGGAACTTCGGAGATTGTACGGAAGGTGTGAGATTGCCATGAGTAACTCACAGTTTGGATTTAGACAGGGGTTAGGCACCAGGGAAGCACTGGCCGCGACGCAGATATTAGTACAGAACTGCTACGACCAGCGAAAGAACGCATGTCTATATTTTATAGATTAAGAAAAAACTTTCGATAGGGTTCAACATCATAAAGTTATACAGCTTCCCAGGAGATTAGATTTAGACCAGAAAGACATCCGATGTATCGAAAACCTATACTGGCGCCAATCAGCACGGGTAAAATTAGCGAACGGCCATGGGGGACTTGCCATTAACACAAAGAAAACAAAATTTATGGTTGTCACGAGAGATGTGGATGAGTTTAGAGACGCCAACTTAACATACGAAGGAAAATTCTTAGAACGAGTCGCAAAATTCAAGTACCTGGGAGGTTGGCTTCACGGGGACTGGTAATCTGACAGGGACATTAAGTGCAGAATCGAACAAGCCCGGGGCGCATTCCTGAAATTTAAAAAAGTCTTCACCTGTAGCAATTTCGACCTTGAGATTCGATTGAGATTTGTGGAATGCTACGTCTGGTCGATACTTCTATACGGCGTGGAGCTTTCGAAATGTGGATATACCGCAGAATCCTCAAGATACCATGGACGGCCAAGATAAGAACCGAGGATGTGCTCAGACGTATTAATAGAGAACGTAAACTCTTCAACCACATAAAAAAAGAAAGACTGTATACCTGGGTCACGTAATGCGTATAACCATATAAAACCAATTTCTCCAGTTAATTATCGAAGGCAAGATCGAGGGCAGAAGAGGTTTGGGACGGAAAAAAATGTCGTGGCTGCCGAACATACAAACGTTGATCCATACAGCCAGAGATAGGGAAGCCATGGAAAGTGTGGTCGCAAACATCCGTTAATGGATAAGCAGAGAAAGAAGAAGAAGAAAACATATTTTTCCAAATATTCCATTACCAGTTGTGCAATGATGGCAGAAATTGCTGCTCCCATTGCGTAGCCATGAAGTTGTTGTATTGAAAAAGATATTATTTAATATAATGTTTATCTCACGCTTAAATTTATTCAGCGGAATAATTTCTAATTTAGAGATATCTTGGATTTTTTTGTTATTACTATATTTATAAGATCTAAAGGTTGTGAGGGTACAAAAAAAATAAATAAAGATGTTAGGATACAATGAAACTACGTCAAGGGAAATTAATACGTAGTTACCAGAAATTTTTATGTCTTTGAGGAGGAAGTTTCTGAATTCGAATGAGTTTCTTAGGGGGCAGATTATAAAAGGGTGACTGTACAGGGTTAGGTTAACTAGATCAGCTACGTTTTACTAGTTGAAGTTTCTAACCGGTTTGGATGCTTGTGGGAACAAAAAATATCTGCTAGAATAACTGCCGAACAGATAATAATAATATGATTTTTCAATGACAGTGACATTACATCATAAACACTATTTTATAGGTCTGTTAACTAGAACTAAAAGCAAAGGCACAGTTTTAAGGTAAAAAATACGAAAAACTGTTAGTGTCTTCTTGAAAAGCGAATATCTTCAAAAAAATAAAGCTGTTGAGATGAACAAAAAAAAACAAGTACTTATTGAGAAAAGATACACCTAGACGATAAAACGATTTTTAAGTTTCTTGCTTTATTAACGTACTTCACAGAGTGTTTCAAATTTTCCCCAAAATTTCAACATCTTTTTTCCCTCGTAAAAATTGAAATATGGCAACTTTCATTTTTAATTTAGCGAAGAGACACTAAAAACTTAAATAATTTAGATACAAATTGCTTAAAAATCATCAAAATCGGTCAACTAGAACACAATATACAAGGTGGTCCGAACTGTATTCCGGAAACTTCGGCAGCGTATTCTGCAAATAAAAAGAAGTAAAAAAGTTCGTATAAATGTATGTCCTAAAATGCTTAGTTTCGGAGATACAGGGTGTAGAAGTTTCATATTTATTTCGATTTTTTCCAAATAATTTCTGATGCAACGCCAATATTTGGATGAAAATTAGTGTCTGGGAGTTTTTTGACATGAGAAATTTGATTTTGATGTCAGTATGACTCCTGTTAGTAGAGGGCGCCACCTACATATTTGTTAACTGGTTTGAAGAGCAATAACTTTTCGTTAGTACCTGTATAAAACTACTGAGTAAAAAAAATATACATTTGCGACTTTTTTTACGTGAAAAAGGTCTCTTGGTAAAAATCGCTACGAGTAATGGTTTTCGAGATATTTGAAATCAAAATTATCAACACCTGTCATCATTGCCATAAATTAAATATGTTGACTAAATAGTTATTAGACTGAAATGATAAATTTGGAACGTTTTTGTGCCAAAAGTTCAACAGAAATTGTTTTATCATCATTTTTTGCAGAAAAATTTATGATTAATTTAAGAAAATAAAAATTTCCCAAATTTATTATTTCAGTGAAATAACTATCTACTCAATGTATTTATTTTTCGCCAATAATGACATGTATTGACTAGGTATTGGTTATTTCCATTCTAAATATCTTAAGAATGGTTGCTCGTAGGGATTTTTACAAAGAGATATTTTTTAGTAAAGAGTCACAGAGATGTATATTTTTTCGCTCAGTAGTTTTATACAGGTATGGTCAAAAAGTTATTACTCTTCAAAACAGTAAAAACACATGTAGGTGGCGCCCTCTACTAGTAGGAGTCATATTGACATCAAAATCACATTTCTCATGTCAAAAAACTCCCAGACACCAATTTCCATCGAAATATTTACTTTACTTCAGAATTTATTTGGAAAGAATCGAAATAAAAAACTTCTACACCCTGTATCTCCGAAACTAAGCATTTTATGACATACATTTATACGAACTTTTTTACTTATTTTTATCTACAGAATATGCTGCCGAATGTTCCGGAAAACAGTTCGGACCACCCTGTATAAAACTTTAAAACACATGAATATTTTAAAGTGCCCGTTTTTCGTGCCGGTGATCTATACGATTCCTTCTGGATGTAATATTTTAATGTTAACTAATTAGTAAAATATTCATTTTATGAATTAAAATGTTTATTGAGTTGTATTATTTTAAATCTTAAATCACTAAATAATAATTTAATGAATCAATCACATCACAATATTATTACATCTCTATCAAATTTTAGCTCCAAAACCACCTAAGAAACCTTTGGATATAGCCGTTAGCCGTCTATATAAAACTAAAAATGGAAGTATAAATGCAGAACTCAAATGGAAAGAACCACCTTCCGACTTACCGGTTCAGAAATACAAGCTGTTTTGGAGTATTCGACTACACGGTATCAAGGCCCTTGATTCAGTGTTCGTACGACATCAGTTTGTTTCAAAGGTTTGTGTGTCGAATTTTATCCAAATTGGTAGTTGACTTGTGATTTATTGGCATGTTGAAGTTGGATATGTTTTTAAGAAACATTTGTTGTCGTTTTGCCAAATTTATTCTGGCATTCTCATAATTATGTGCATCTCATCTACCACCAAGAGAAATATAAAAAGCAATGATGTTAAGTTAAATTTCGAAATATAATTTCATATGATAAAAAAGGGATTTGGCATTTCACTCAGCGCTAATAAAAATATTAATTTATATTATCTATTAACCGATAATAAAAGCAGTGTGGCCAACTAGCCCACGAAGACTTTTCCAAATTCCCCACGAAGACGGTCAAAATTTCCCGATCTTTCTAGAAATTCCCACAAATGACTCAAAATCAATTATAGTGTCCTAGCTAGAGAGCCAATACCGTCTTGTGCGTCTCAAAAGTGGCTCACCCCCATAACTTTTTTATTTTATCAAATAAAAAACGAGATTCGGTATGTTAGTATATGACATAAATTAGGATTGATTGGCATATTCAATTTTTTTCGGCCACTTCCTATTTCACCGGAAATGGCTGCAATTTTTTATTTTTAAATGGCACCCTCCGTATTTTTTTTACTTTATTCGATAGAAAATAACATTCTGAATAGATTGACATATCATATGTCAACTTTTGACATTTTTGCTTAAAACCAAAATTGAATTTTTAATTTCAATCTAGAGTGTTAAAAACACTAATTTTTAATCAGGGAGCCTTGGAAAAATAGATTTGATCGTCTAATGTTGTTCGTGTCTTATTCTGGCCGGTTAAAAGATTCATAAATCGTATTTATAATCATATCTCAATCTTTTCAAATGGAACGAGGGTGGCTCATTAGCATATTTGGAAAAAGCATGTTTTTACGAATAATTTGGTACCACACATTTGGTATTCAAATTTTCATTATGAATCGCATGTTGCAATTTTAAATAAATCATATTCTAAAATGTCAAAAGTTGACATATGATATGTCATTCTATACAGAATGTCATTTTCTATCGAATTAAGCAACAAAACACAGAGGGTACCATTTAAATATCAAAACTTGTAGTCATTTTCGGGGAAGCAGGAAGTGACAGAAAACAATTGAATACGTCAATCAATCCTAATTTATGTCATATATTAATATACCAAATCTCGATTTTTTATGTGAAAAAATAAAAAGTTATAGGGGTGAGCCACTTTTGAGACGCAGCCGGTAATATGGGGGGGGGGGGGCTTTTGTTGGTGTTCTTTTACGCTTTTATCCGACTAGACATTATACTGCCGTTTTAACGAAAAATTATTTATTTTCTAGAAATAATGCAACGTTATTAATCTTACCTATATCAACTGAAAAATAAAATAAAACGCCTCAAATACGTTCCTGCCTAACTCACTCATTGAACGAGTGAAGGAAGAACGACATCCAAAAAACGATAGAAAATACAATTTACTTGAGAATTAAAATGACAGACACAACTGTCACTGTCATGGATCTTCTTGTAGGATAGACTATAGTCGTCTAGGCGGTCTACGCTCTGCGTTGTGCGTCTTGTATTGAGTACCGCGGTAGGCGATGCGCAAAATTTTATTTTTATCGAGTGAGAGATTTACATGTATTTAGTTGCGATAATGCTTTACGATGCCTTACTTTGACAACCTCGTAAGTACTCAAAACATGTTTTCACAGGAGAAACAAAAAAGTATTCCTATTAATCTCTTAACAAATACAGGAGTTAGGCAGGGATGTGTCTTAGCGCCTCTCCTATTCAACATATTCATGGCAGCGCTCTCCATTATAGTGGACAGCAAACTGCAGGAGAGAGGATTGGGCATTAGATACAGATACGACGGCGGTCTGTTCAACATAAAAAGACTCAGCAAAAACACGTACAAAATTCATCACAGAACTTCAATACGCTGATGACTGCGCTCTAGTTGCAAAAACTGTACAGCAATTACAAGAAATGTTGAACACATATACCTGGGCATACTAGGCTTTGGGCCTTAAGCTAAACATCGACAAAACTAAAATCATGTGCACTCCCCCGGAAGATCACAACAATGCTATAAAAATCGGAGAAGAACTACTGGAATATGTAGCGGTATATTCAATTATCTCGGCAGTTTGATTTCGGAAAAGGCCAATATCGACTCTGAAATTCAGCACAGGATTAGCAGCGCCTCAAAAGCATTCTGGAAATTAAAAGACAGGTTTTTCTACAATCATGACCTGAGCACAAAAACGAAACTTGCAGTGTCCCGAGCAATAATAATCCCCACCATGTTATATGGGAGCGAAACCTGGGTGCCGTACCGCCGATACATGAACACATTAAACAAGTTGCAACAGAGACACCTTAGACAACTCTTAAGAATCAAATGGTTCCATCATGTCTCAAACGTATCGTTTCTTGAAAAAGCTAGCTGCGAGAGTATTGAAGTCGTTGTTACAAAATCCCTACTAAGATGGGCTGGTCACGTATGCAGAATGCAAGAAAACCGCATACCAAAATCACTGCTTTACGGTGAGCTTGTAGACGGTAAGAGGACAACTCAAAAGGTACAAGAACATTTTCCACGAAAACTTAAAGGGGATTAACGTACAGAAGAGTGGGAAGTAGCAGCTCACAATAGAACTCAATGGAGAAGAATTGTAAACTCAGTTAACAGCGAGAACCAAAAAGTTGAGAGGCAACAAAGCAATGAGATTTTTGAATGTCCGGAGTGCGGTATACAAATAACATCACGTATTGGGCTTTTCAGTCACAGAAAAGCTCATGAAAGAAAACGCCTTGCGTGACCATCTCCTGTGATGCGTGTCAAACACTCGTTAGCGAGTAATGGCAGTATGTATGTATATGTATTCCTATTAATTGTGAGAAAAATACCCACAAATAGCGTAATAATCAAAATAATTTGATTTTGTTTTACAACATATGATTTTGAGAATAGACTATGAGGTCTTTATCGAATTAGCTATAATTGTAACTTGCCAAAAATTTGAAAAAAACTTTGTATCGAGAGAGGTTTTCAAGGTAAGGTATTGTTTATCATTATAAAAGATTTAATTTACTCAGTTGGTTGAATGCGTATACGATTTTAACTATTTTTTACGCATAATACATGAATTTCCACGAATATGGAGTTTTGGGTTGAAATTTCCCTTTTCTCTCTGGATCTCGAAATTTCCCACAAATCGGAAAATTTTCCACGAGTTGGCATTACTGAATAAAAGAGTCAACTATAATATACAGGGTGAATCTTAAATAAGTGCAAATATTTGTAGGGGTAGTATTTCGACTCCAGAAACACGATTATGAGGTTTTTTTCGCGAAAAAAAACTTTTTTAGTTTTTAGACACATACAGACGAAAACGAAAATTTTATTACTTAGTATCGGTGTGCATCAGGCAAAAAAATATCCCAATTTTCTGTCTTGGGGCAGACATATAATTGCATCTGACACATACAGACGAACGAACAGAAACTTGGGGTATTTTTTGCCCGATGCACACCGATACTAAAGAAATAAAATTCTCGTTTTCGTCTGTATGTGTCTTCGTGTTGGCGGATGGAATCGCCATGAATGTTTTAGGCATTTTGATTAATATATGTTATAGTGCCTGAAGAAGCGACAATAAAGTCGCGAAACGTCGCAAAAAAAACATAATTGTTTTCTTTCGAGCCTTCCCAAATACCCACGATTTTCTGCGATTTTATTCTGCGCAGAGAAAATTTTATTTGTTTATCGAAATCTACCAGCCCTGAAAATATTTGCACTTATTTAAGACTCACCCTGTATAAGTTTTGATTATACTATTGTTTGGAATCATATTAAAGGCAAATAATGAAAAAAATTACATTTAGAATAACAATATTAATTACATTTGGGGGTTGGAACCTTTGGGGTTTTATATTTATAATTGCTTTAAAAACAGAAGTAATAATACGTAACTCACAGAAAGCTGATTCAAGAAGTCACAGTTTAAACGTATTATATCTTCGTATACACCCAAAAAAATTAAAATATTATTAATATAAATAATCAATCCAAAAATTTTAATTGTATCAAGCCTAAAACGATGGAGTCTTTTTGGTAGCCACATAAGTCTTTTTAATGGTCGAAGACGTCCTCTTTACTTGAAAGGACACTTGTTGCATTAAGGAGTTTAAGTTAGGAGTTAGTTTGCTGCATTAACAGATTTTTATATTGAATAAAAATGATTTAGCTAAATTAGTTTAAAATTGCATCAAAAAATATCTTTTTAGATACATGTTTGTGTCCCAAAACGTTCTACTCTTTTCTATGAACTTTTAACAAGTTTTATGTCTAGTTAAAATTTTGTTTTAATTAAGGTAAGTTTAATTAATTTTTAGTAAATAACGTCAAGGGCAAGATCTCGGCAAAATTATTAGCGATTAAAAAAATGCTATAGTTATATTCCTTTTTATAATCTATATATATAATCAGAAATATATTTATAATCTAGATAGATACACATAATATCTTATATTTATACACTAAATAAGTAATTTGTTAATCCTATTTCCTTTTTCTTGGTGCACTTTCTTCCTTATAAATCTTTTTCGAGATGCAAGAACAGCCTACAATGACATTGACATATTCTGGAATCCATTCATCTAAAAGATTCTCGGGAAAGTCTTGGGCCAACATACTGTCAATCCCATCTGACTGGAGATCTCTTCTTTTTATTACTCTTAATTTATATTTTTTAGGTTGGCAGCGTTGAAACATTCCACATGAGTCTTTTTTGCATAGGCCTGTATGTACATATCTAGAACAGAATTTATCATTTTAACATTTTATCATCTAGGTTACTGTGAAAGTCGAAAATTCATTGATGAAATTCAAGAATTTTGTCAACCGTTACTAGTAATTTCTAACATTCACTAGTGAAAATTGGATTTACTTAAAATTGCTACTAACCGTTGGGGGAACGATAGATTAATGTTCATCTTCTCATTTT